TGTTAATAAATTTCACTCCACTACATTTCAAGTAAGCTGCTAGTTACTAGATTTGTAATCCGCTATTGCTGTTTTTCTTTCTTGAAATATAATTTCAAATTGCAAGATAGCAGAAATTAGGACTGAATTTCTACATCGCTTTTTAGAGATTTAATGACGTTCCACAAATGTGGAAAAACTAAGGCATGATATAATTTATAGTTTACACATTTTATTAAGGTGTTGCCATGTAGCCAAGTTGTTCAGTAGGATTACTTCTGAGAGCAGAGTTGTAGCTTCTTTGTGGTAATAGATTCTATTCCATAGTTAAAGTGTCAGGAGAATTGAGAAACTTCTGTTTTCTTTTTGGTTTGTTTTGAATAAGATTAGTAATCAAAATAGCTGTCCTCATTTTTGTGCAATTTTTATGCTGATGTTCTTTACAGGTGGTGTACAATTTGTAGCAGGTTGTTCTACGCATCAATACATCAGTTTTTTTCTGAAAGTTGCAAGGTTCTTTATAATTACTCTGAAAATTATACTAAAATGTACTGATATTAGATTTTATTTGTATTTTTAAATACTTAAGGACTTTTAAATGCATTTATTTTGAATACTTATGTATTTTCAGAGGTGGGGTTTTCAGAACTTTAACTATACTTTACTTGTTGTGTAAGATTTGACTATTAGTATCAATACTTTTACTCATTTACTATGGTTGAACACTTCGTCCAAATGTCAAAATGTAATATGAGAAAATAATGCTGACAAAAGATTAAATAGGAATCCTTTTAAAAAAAAAAGCCGTTTTGACTGTTGAATCATTTATAATCTGTCATCCTCCCTTACCTCCAGCACAGACCCCAGGCCAGTCACTACTTTCCCCAGCACTGGTGCTCCTACTGGTGCGCCCAGGCAAATTAAAGGAAGTCCTGCCAAATCTGACCATCATCTAGACGCAGTTCTAAGAACCGGTTGTGGTACTCTACAAACTGTTTGTCTCAGGAGAATCAATTGGACCCATAGACATAGACTGTTTCCACAGCAAAACAACAGTTAGTCACTTGATAAAATCCTCGTCAGCCATATTAATTAAAAACTGGCAGAAGACAGAAGTTCGGGTTCCTCCTTTTTGATGAAGAGGTCTGCTGTGAATGCTGTGCCTTTTTAAATGCAGTGGTCAACTCCCAGGAATTACTGTAGAAACAGTGGTGGGTGTGAACGCACCATAAGAGCTCCTACAGCTGATGGCTGAAATCAGTCTATTTTGGGGAAGATTTGCCAATTAGCCCGCTTCTAAAATGTCTCTGTTTTTAAAAGCAAAAAATGAATGTTATAAAGTGATTTTTTAAATATATATATATATATATATATACATAAATGCAGTGTTGTATAG